GGCACACGGCGCATGCGCAGACCCGACCCCTGGCGCCCGGCGCATGCGCAGACCCGACCCCGGGCACACGGCGCATGCGCAGACCCGACCCCGGGCACATGGCACATGCGCAGACCCGACCCCGGGCACACGGCGCATGCGTGGACCCGACCCCAGGTGCACGGCGCATGCGCGGAACCGCCCCGGGCACACGGCGCATGCGTGGACCCGACCCCAGGTGCACGGCGCATGCGCGGAACCGCCCCGGGCACACGGCGCATGCGTGGACCCGACCCCAGGTGCACGGCGCATGCGCGGAACCGCCCCGGGCACACGGCGCATGCGTGGACCCGACCCCAGGTGCACGGCGCATGCGCGGAACCGCCCCGGGCACACGGCGCATGCGTGGACCCGACCCCAGGTGCACGGCGCATGCGCGGAACCGCCCCGGGCACACGGCGCATGCGTGGACCCGACCCCAGGTGCACGGCGCATGCGCGGAACCGCCCCGGGCACACGGCGCATGCGTGGACCCGACCCCAGGTGCACGGCGCATGCGCGGAACCGCCCCGGGCACACGGCGCATGCGTGGACCCGACCCCAGGTGCACGGCGCATGCGCGGAACCGCCCCGGGCACACGGCGCATGCGTGGACCCGACCCCAGGTGCACGGCGCATGCGCGGAACCGCCCCGGGCACACGGCGCATGCGTGGACCCGACCCCAGGTGCACGGCGCATGCGCGGAACCGCCCCGGGCACACGGCGCATGCGTGGACCCGACCCCAGGTGCACGGCGCATGCGCGGAACCGCCCCGGGCACACGGCGCATGCGTGGACCCGACCCCAGGTGCACGGCGCATGCGCGGACCCGCCCCGGGAGCATGGCGCCCCTCACTACTTCAGTCAGGCGCCCCCCATACGTTGGCGCCCCGGGCAGCTGCCTGGCTAGCCCCCCCCTTAATCCGGCCCTGGTGTCGGGCACAGCGATGGGCGTGTCACAGAGCCGTCCTGTATAAGGGTCACACACACCCTGCTCTACATTTGCCGCGGCAGCGGGAGCTGGAGTGATGCAGCTGCCTGCTCTGCCCTGCCGCCCGCTCCCAGCTGGGTCACTCCGCTTCCCCAGAGCGGGCGGGAGCAGAAGTCAGAAGGACCGATCCGCCGGGCCGCTCCTTACCTGGCAGAGAGGATGATAACTCGAGCCTCCAGCTCCTTCGCTTCAAGCAGCAGGGACGTCAAGTTTTTGGTGCCAGGATCAAACTGAAGAACTTTCTCAGCCTGTGATTAGTGTGAGCAAAGCTGGTTAGTGCAGCAGCCTAACGCTTGCTGGTGAGAGCCATTCTATCTAGAAAAGGTTCAAGAGAATTCATTAAACTGATACAGCTCTGCTAGATATGGTAGGTTAACTAGGTTTTTTTTCTTTTTCTTTTTTCTTTTCTTTTCTTTCTTTGCTTTTCTTTCTTTCTTTTCTGTTTTAAGGTTTTTTTTTTTGTTTGCTTGCTTTTAGGGGGGTTTTTTGCACTGTGCATGCAAACTGAAGTCAGTCAAGACCCAAAAAGAGGCGTGCATTGTACAGGAGAGAGAAAAAGGCTTTTGCAATGCAATTGAAAACTCAAACGAGTGTTGTTTTTCAAAAACATGGGAAATAAAAAAATATCGCACGGGGGTAACCTTTAGGAGGACAAGTGAACAGCTTACACCAAGGGACCATTTCCTTTGGGGAGGAAAGGGGGTCGGTTCAGCTTTCAAAAAGAAAAACTTGCAAGTTAATTACTGGTTCACATGCATGTCTCAAAAAGAAATCCTTCGGGGTCAGTTGGCTAGATTTCCATTCTCAAGTTCAAACCAAAACTATGTCAACATAAAAACGTGCTACCAAGAAACATAGTCATGGATCTTTTTTTTTTCTTTCTTTTCTTTTTTTTTCTTTTTTTGGTGGCTGTGGCTATTTGTCATTGGCTAGTTAGATTGGTGGGCGGCGTGCATGTCCATGCATATATACCTTGGGTCCTCGCTTGTTGTCATAGGAAAGTTGGTCGAGGTTTTCATAGTTCCTTTTTTTACTCTGATGAATAATGTGCACAGAGAAAATATGTAGACACAGAAGAATATTATAAACAGTTGAAAATGACGTGTAGTAAAGCAATCCAACATCCACCTCCTCCTCCACTGTTTGCTAAAGGGTCTCTATAACGCTGGAGCTTGCAAACACCCTTCCTAACAGAGGAGCCTGCCGGGCCACATTTATTGAAACACGCCTGAATGGCATGATGGGTGCGATGCAGTTGTATGTTGCCATGTAGGAGTAAGGATTTTTTTTTCAGCATGAAATGGGTCCCTTAAATTCAGAGACAAGTTACGTGTCTAGAAGGACTTGAGCTATTGTAATTCCATCGAATTACGGTGGAAGGACAAAATGTTTTATATGGAAAAGCGCTAGAAAAATGCACAGTCTTAGGACGAGTAACTTTATTATTGCTGTATTATTAGGATGATGATGATTATCTGATGACGGTCATTTTCCCCCTGAGCCAGAGTTGAAAGGGAAACGCTTGTAGGGGCCCTGCTGCAGGGAGCCAGACTCTCCTCCACGTAGCTACAGTCGGTGCCGGAGCAACGTGTGAGGATGTGCAAGCCATGGTGGTCAGGACAGGCCGGCCTTTCCCTGCTGCATGGGGCCAGGCGGGAGGGCAGGTCACCAGAGCACGCCCCGGTGATCCAGCTACAGACTGGGCGCCTGCCCTGGCCCGGTACAGAGAGAGGAGAAAACGGTCCCCTTTGCTCTGTGGATTGCTACAGCCTCGGCGCACCGGGCAGGCCCTCCGTCTGGGGAGCCCTCCCAGCAGCCGTGGCAGGCACGGTGGATAAAAGCCCTGGCCCGGACCTTGGATAGACGAGTTCTCCCCTCCCCTTCGCGCATTGAGCAATGTTCTGTTGCTAGTCCCAGAAGGTTGGGACTCAGAGGAGCCAGCTGTAGCGGGGCGGGATTCCCTCTGGGCTGGCCTCCTCCCAGTTGCTCCGGGGCCCAGCAGAGCCCTCCCAGCAGCCGTGGCAGGCACGGTGGATAAAAGCCCTGGCCCGGACCTTGGATAGACGAGTTCTCCCCTCCCCTTCGCGCATTGAGCAATGTTCTGTTGCTAGTCCCAGAAGGTTGGGACTCAGAGGAGCCAGCTGTAGCGGGGCGGGATTCCCTCTGGGCTGGCCTCCTCCCAGTTGCTCCGGGGCCCAGCAGCCCTGACCCTGCAGCAACTTGTCACGCCAGGGCTCACGCGCTCCCCCCCTACCGCCCCGGACGGCTCGGACATTCAGGCTCCAGGCA